ACTTTCTGAATCTTCAGCTATGTTATTTTAATTATTTGACTATCCTTTACACTTCCCAACCTCATGGAAATTCAAAACAGAAATTAACTTGATCGATCCTTGAGCATTTTACAAACTACTGTAGTGGTTTGCGTCTTACACTAATATTAGTTTAATCATGGTTTTTAAAAACGAACCGGTGACTGAACCGGTCAGGGGTTCAGTTACCGGTTCAAATGGTCCGATCGTTCGATCTGAACGGCCGGCCCGTTCTAATAAAAAAATTAAAAAAATTGGAAAATGGTCAAAGCGGTTCGAACGATTAATCAACTGATTCAGCAGTTTAACCGATCAAGTGACCGGTTTCTGATTTTTCCAGTCTGGTCCGGTTTTAAAAACCACGAGTTCAATGGTTGATCGGTCTCTTGGTACCCAATTCCGCTACCGTAGTGGGTGCATACCCAGATGAGAGACTGCTAAAAGGTAAACAGATTGCCAACCTGAAATATAGCAGCAAACAAGACACTAGGATCCAAACCAAAAGACTATTCCTATTAACCGTTCTGTGTGAGACGTTGATTGCATTCTCGACCAGATGAGGTTTCAAAGGATGGGAAAGTGCAAACAGGAAAATGGAAGTATGAGCGAGACAATCCTTTTTAAGTTAAAATTAAGTGATCTTGGCGGTGTTTTAATAAATTTAAACTTGAATAAATAGCCAAAGGGTAAAATTGGTCACTTGAAAAAACAAATGTGTTATATCGTGTTTTCCGCGCGTCTGGGACAATGACGGAAGGGAGGAAACAGCATGATTTTTCAAAATGACAGGGGGAGGTGATTGTTAAAATCAAAATACAGGGGATGTTTTTTATAATTGTCAGAAACCTCAGCTTACCCAAAAATTAATTAACCAGAAACGGCTTAAACATGTCAAGAAGACGCAAAAGTTTTCAGCTTATATTTCTTCTTGAAAAATTTGCTCCCGGGTTATATCTTAATGCATGGCTCAGATTTTTCCTACGTTAGACATGAAGGTCCATGACGTTGAGAGACATTGGGCTGATCAGTCTCAGAGAGTGACCGTACCCTCATTTAGGGAGTTATGGGCCATATACGTGCGTATTTAACCAATCAATATTGTCACTTAATTCGGGTTTTAGCCAGCCATCTTCTCTTTCTGTATTTACTAGCTAGAGACTCTCCCAGTAGCCCCACTAGCATTTACCAGATAACTTCTTCTGTGTGCACTGTGCAATGTTGGATTTAACTGCTTTCCAACTGGAAACTATGCAGATTATATTGGTGTACCCCATGCTCAGACTTACAGACAACGGTCCAATGGTCCAGTTTAAGTAGGACGTTCCAGGCCCAAGTCAAAATATATCAGCTAGAATGCATCATTCTTAATTTTTAAGAGCCTGACTTGAATATGTATTATATTAGCCAGTATTTATAGCTGACTAGCTGATAACAATAACACAAAAACAGGAGGGGACTAAGGGCATTAAAGATCTGATATCCCACCACAAATATTGAGTTCTTTTTCCCATCGGAATGGATTTGTTCATTTCACCGAAGACGGGAACCACCCACCCAGCCCAGGCCAAGCCCTTTGATGGTGAACCATCGAGTCACTGGCTCTATCGCTTGGGTCTACTTGATTATATGGGCAGGGTCTTAATGATGATGTTACTGTTGTCGATGAGGATGACGATGGTAATGTGATGATTTTTTGAGATGACCATGATCAAGTGGCTTACATATATATTCTCACCCTTTGATTTTCCTTGTCAACAATAAATGACTGCCGAATTAAGTTGACACATGGAGATTTGTTACCCATCCGCATGACAACCCATTTCCCATTTCTCATCTCTCATTTCTAATCTATTATATGATATAAAATAAGAAACCAGAATAGCTATGGTGAATGTAATAGTATAACATGTTAATTTACTGCATAATACCGATGCTTGCTTCATTGCTTGATATGACCATGTCATACTTTATTTGTTTTCTTCCTTCTCTACTTTACTCATCTCATCTTATCTCTTTCTACTTGCACGTACATGTAACATGTGCCATTCAACTAATAAATATATTGTAGAAAGCCTTGACCCCCACATGTGTAAAAGCTTTTCTTCAGGCTGAGGACTAATTTAGTGGATCCCACAATGCTCTCTCAAAATAATATTGTGTTGAAAGAGTCCACATTAGTCAGTATAACCAAAAAGAAAGGAGATCGAAGAGAATCTGGGATAGTTAATGAAAACATTAATATCGAGAAGGGAGTCGAGGTGGCCTTAATTGAATCATATCCTTTCAAGTCAATATTTAGTTTTACACTTTTACTCGTCACATATCTAATAAAAAATATAATTAATTATTTATATAGACCCTGTGCCCTGTGGATTGAGTAAATTACTTAAATATACCCTCTAGTTTGGACAAGGAAAACTACTTACATATACATTTTAAGATGACCCATATGACATAAACAAATCCTCTACTTTGATAAAAAACAAGTAGGGATGACAATTTTTCCCATTTCCCCGATTCCTGTGGGGATCCGCCCCAAATGGGGTGGGATGGGGATGATTTCCCCTTTGTAAGGACGGGGATGGAGAAATTTTCATCCCCGTTAGCGGAGGATGGGGCGGGGACGGGGAGAGCATTCCCCGCCCTATAGGGACCCCGATTTCCGCCCATAGGATCCCCACTAATATATATGTACACATACATCTATATATTAATATTTTAAAAATATGGTTGAATATGTTTGAATCTTTTTTAATAGATTGTAAATTTTAATTATTTTATTTTTATTTTTTAAATAAAATAAAAATAAATTTATTAACATTATAAAAAATTATGGGGAATGGGGATCCCCGCGGGGATAGGGATGGGAATAACCTTGTCCCCGTTAATGGGGATGGGGATGGGGACGGGGATGGGAGAGGCTCCCCGTCCCTGCCCCACCCCGTTGCCATTCCTAAAAACAAGTGTCACATTAGTAAAATTGTATTGTTTGTGCTGATGTAGCAGTTGTTTTTTGTTTGGGATTTTTAAACAGCACTTTACCTCAGAATTTTAATTTGCAGCCCCTTCCTAATCTATTAGTAGCCCCCTTATAAACTACATCCTGCCCGTGAATTTGACATCAATCCACGGGCAGGATTCAGTCCACCCCTAAAAATCCTAACTCCACCCTAGGGGTGGACTGAACTGTAAAACCCCCTTTTTGCTTTTGGAAACAAAACTAATTAACCTTGTTGTTGAACGCCCCCTGGCATTGCTCATCATCTCCTTCCTCTACACCACCAAACCAAAGTGGCAATGAAAGGGATTCTCAAATCATCACTCCACTTTCTCGCTCATCATCATCATCATCTTCTTCTTCCTGTCCGTCTCTCTTCTCTCCTCAACTCATCTTCAAACCATGACACCTTGTGCACCACCAAACCATAAGGACTCTCTCTCTCTCTCTCATCCATTGTTTGTCCCATAATCAAATTAGTTCAAGATTGTCACTCTTCTTTACGAAGTAAACATTGCAAAGAAGCCAAACAAGACCATTCGATCTCTCTCTTCTCCATTTGTAGCATCAAAGTTGTTACTGCCAGCACCAGCCAGCATCGACTTCCAGTAGTGATTGGTTTTCGTCGGATGATCAAAAGGGGCGAAGGGCATTTTTGGCCTTCATGTATCTTCCGTTGCTCTTAACAGTTGAATGGCCAATAAGGTATATATTAGGGTCTATTTGGTTTGCAGTTGGAGTTGGAAATGGAATGGTCTATTCTCATAATCTGTTTGGTTCAGACAGGGTCACAGGAATGAGAATGAGAATTAGAATAGGTAGGAATGAGATTTCATTACCAAGAGAGGGATAGCGAATGGGCATTCCCTCAAATGGGGGAATGTCATTCCGATTCCACCCAGCCAAACAGTTAGGATTGAAATAGCCCATTCCGATTCTGATTCTAGACTCCTATTCCCGCACAGAAAACAGGGACTTAGCAGTTTTCCAAACTAGAGGGTATGTTTATTAATCCTAAAAGTAATATTTTATTGATTTAACAAAAAAAAAAAGAGAATACCCCACATGCAAAAATTTGATGATAATTAAATAATTATCAAATAACTTTATTGATTTTGTTCCATAAAATATAACTCCCCTGCTCTGAATGTGAATTCTTTTGGACAAAAGCATACATCTTAATATGTTACGCGGAACATCCTTAGAATTGATTAGCTAAATAATGAATAACAAACGGTTCAAAAACCTTGTAGCAATTAGATATCATAGCTTCTTCTGACTCTAGAAGTGGAAAGTTATTATAAAATCAGGTTAATACCATTTAGTAATTTTTTTACTGCATCTGAAGATTGACTACACAAAAAAAAAAAAGAATCATCACTCAGTACTATCCAAGTTCTTGCTATTTAGGTATTGAATTTATACCTTCTTTTATTCTTCTGCCTTCTATTTCATGCTTCAGTATAATCTGAAGGGAACAGTGAAGTGAATAATGAACCCATAACCATGCAACTACAACCAGCAATAAGTGCACCAATGGGTCTCAGGTCTCACCAAAAATATAAGTAAATAAATACATAAGTGCACCAATGGGTCGAGTCTGGGTCGCATGGCACCACAACCATATGTGTGGTGTGTGTCTTCATTTTGTTGTGTTAAGGATTGAACCCATCTCCGACCGGGTTTATTTCAGCCATAATCATGGTGGTCAGTCGTACGTACGGGGTACTCAGATACCTGATGAGCGAGGCAATTGGCAAGTGTAATAATGTTATGCAATATCTCTCCATTGACGAGAAATAAATTGGTGACGGAGAATGGAATGCGACAAGAAACTAACAGCAGTAATGTCCATTCATTAATGCGTACATCCTGTAATTGACGACTCATACCTCATCATGTGTGTATATAACCATGTATATTACTTAATAATTTAATATTAACGAATTATAAGTAGAAATATTTTCTACACGGGCCGTCTAGCTTTTTCTCGTTGAACAAGGGGCACATTATTCAGTTCATCATATCTACTGCTTACAAACTATATGGACTATGGATCATTGACACCGGTACTGAAACCTAAATTAGAAGATATACATTAAACAAAAAGAAGATGTCGAACTTCGCTGGCTTGACTCGGACGAGTTGCCTTGGAAATTTTCAACACAAAAAACGATTAGGTACCGGTTGGCAAACTCGGATGAATTGCCATGGGTAGAGAGGACTAAGCTTTAATTTTCACTTATAATAGCATGATGACAACGCACTTGACGTAGGTTGACAAGTTTGGGTGACTAACAACTTTTTATGTCAAGCTTTCCGGCGATTTGACCCTAAAACACCGGTGAATCCGATGGAGAAGAGTTCACTAGGTTGAGTATGTTGTTCCAATAATTCTTGTTCTCTTCATAGTCGTTGGTTCCACGGCTGCCATTAGCATTATGAGAATCTCTACTTCCGTCGGATGAGTTCCGGTCATCTGAGTGGTTGAGAAGAAGATCAGTAAAGCCATCTATGAAGTTTGAACTGGGTACATGCCCATTTCCCGTCTTTGAAGACTCTGAGGTCCATGAGTCCTCTGCTGCAAACACTGAATCCTGGAAACCTGTCATGAATGTTACTGAGTTTTCCATTCGTTCTTTGTATTCGGGCAGGTGGATTGACTTCCCCAAGCCTTCCCAATCTTCTTCACCTTCTTCTTTGACAACTCCTCCTCCGTATGTACTTGAATTGCCAACCAATTCGGTCGTAGTCGTTGGGTTATCGCCATATCCGACAGTTGGGATTGGCACTGCATTTTCGGAGAAGCTCAAAGTTGATGTCGGAGACTCAAGGTCACGGCCGTTGACGAGACCGGAAATGGCACCCATTTTGCTCGACTTTGACCACACTCCTTGCCAAGCTTTTAGCACGTCGAGACACTGAGACGACGCCGGAGGATCTGATGATGTCTTGTTGAGAAGCTGAGACGAAGTGGAGCCCGAATCTGAAGCCGATAAGCCGAGCTGATGTTGAAATGAACTGGACCTCAATTTGGACTCTCTGACCAATCTGGTTTCGGCTTCCAGGCGAGCACTCTCCCACTGAGCCATGTGGCTAAGAGTGGCAGCTGTCTTGGACTGACCGTCGACCGAGCTGAGGGCGTCGCTCTTGGGCTTGTGGGTCACCGGATCTATTCCCATTTTGGCTAGCCGTTTCTTGAGGTGGGTGTTCCAGTAATTCTTGATCTCATTGTCAGTTCGCTTGGGCAAATGCGTTGCTATAGCCGACCACCTGCAGTAAGAAAGAGCAAGATGGGTGGGTAATTACTAGTTGAAACCGTATATAAAATCAAATCGTAGAAGACATTTCTAGCGTTCTAATCATCTAAAGACAGAAAAAATGTCAGTTTCCATTTTAGATCAAAGACGACCATGCTCATTTTCTATGTCATCTTGAAATCGTAATTCAAGATCCTCGGCATGTAAATTAATATATTCTCCTAGCTAGTAAACTCTTTGTTTTTTGTCATAATACGAATTGGAGGAGCAATAAACCCTAAATAATGTAAAAGGAGAAGGACACATCTCCGAACAGCATTTGTGTAGGTGTCGGGTTGTAGTTAGTGGTTGAGAAATTAAGACGAAGCCCGTATTCATTGAAGGGGAGAGTTAGCGTAATTGTGCACTTACAATATTTTGGAAGTTGAAACTTGACACAGAAGCTGGACAAGGTTAAAGTTCATCACCAATATGTCCAGGGAAGAGCCAAACAGAACAAAGAATGATGAACCAATAGCTCAGTAATGTTGGACCGAGTGGCCTATGGCCCTCGGTATCTTTCAAGTAGTTTATCGTAATTTCACGAGGAACCATTAACAAGCGCTACTGCGCTAGAGAAGGGAAAAAAAGAAGTTGCTTATGTGCAATCTCTGGCAAAAATGAAAGAATTATTTGATTCTAGGGTGACTATCTAGTAAAGTTTGTTGTTCTTCGGATGGCACTTTCTATTGTCCTATTGTCATTTCTCTTTGTCATCATCACCTTTTCCTATATATCGAGTTCCTTTCTTCTTAAATCTTTCTCAAATCTTCTTTTGTCGCTACATAAAAGAAAGAAGATCTCGTCAAAGGGATTATATTAATAGAGAACCACTGAGTGAAAAAGGCTTCACAGTTTACACAGTTGAAATTCCAGACCAACCAAACTGTTTTAAAGAAAATGATGATGAGGGCAAGACAACAAAAATGGCTAAGATCCCATCTAAACAAATTCAAATCCCAAATAACAAATCTAGTATTGTTAGAAGAAAAATAACGATATGCTCCGAGCATAAAACAGCAAGCAGTAAAACAGTAGTGTAGCAACCGTTCACCTGTTCCCTAGAAGAGCATGGAGTTGAATAATAGTCTGTTCTTCCTGCAAACTGAATTTGCCTCTTTTAATATCAGGTCTGAGGTAGTTAGTCCACCTTAGTCTACAGCTCTTTCCACACCTCTGAAGACCTATAAACAATATATGTACTGGATTAGCTAAATCACAAAGCTAAACCAAGAATAAGTTGGCTTATAATTAACACAAAAGAAAGAGGCGGCCAAAGGTAACCAGCTTTGGCGGGCAGGGCTCGCCAGCTTCCATGTCCGTGTTCTTCAATGTAAGCTAAGAGTTTCTGATCTTCTTCAGGCGTCCATGGACCTTTCTTCAGGCCAACCTTCTCGCAGCACGGAGATCGCCCCATTCTGGATCCCAAGCAAGCGAAGGTGGTCAGAGGTTATGCTTCGTTTAACTGCATATGATAGAAGATTTAAATAGAAAGGAGCTGATGGTGGAGGAGAGAACGGGTTACAGTGGGATATATATAAAGGGGAGACAGCGAGCGAGCGAGAGAGAGAGAGTGAGTGATAAATACAGATATGGGCAAAGAAGAGACGTCAGCGAAATATAGGGGATAAAGAAATAAATACCGATCGATCAGAGTATATATGAAATTATGACAAAAATACCCTTAGGTTCCAACAAGCGAAACAATAAACATTCCGTGTCGTGACAGTAAGGCAGTCTAATCAAGAGAATGTGTTAACGAAGAAGAGCTAGTTGCACCAGCTAGCCTTTCAGCAGCACTGCAGCCCCCGCAATGGTACACGTCTCCCAGCAAAATTTTAATGTGGCCTTTTCAGGTCGATTGGCAGCAATATGTTGATTCGGTTAGTGACATCATAAGGGCAACTCGGTCTTTGTATATATTTATTTTATTTATGGGAAAATCCACTTTAAAGTTTGGAGTTTAAAAGAGCCGTATTGATTTCAGGCGAGAATACATAGCAAGGTGCATGGATCCGAGTTGTGACTTGTGAGCGAGTTGCCCGAGTGATTAATTTGAACACCATTCATCAGAATTCATTGCGTTGCTCAACTAACTTTGGGCCGAGTGGCTGAGTTAAACTCGCTCCAATATATGCTGAATTTTTTGAAGCATCATGGGCTGAGTTAGGTCAACAGTTTTTTTTTTTTGTTGTTGACGTAATAATTGTTTATTACAGGATTAGCTAATATTAAGTAGATCACTGAATTTGGAACCATGGAGTTTAGTGTGAATTGAGTCACTAAAGTCCACGGCGGTATCATGCAATTCGGCTCCCCAATCATAGAAATGATGATGGCAACCAATATAAGACGACGATCTTACCCTTGCATTGTTCTCTAGTAGTAATAATAGCATTACACAACTATTGGGGGTATAATGGTCTCTTCGGTTCTTTATCCACTTATTTATTACAAGTCCAAATTCATAAATATGCATCCGTAACTGGGGGCCAGTCCAAAGGGGATGCACAAAATGAGATGGCACGGGGGCCAACTCCAAAACAAACACCAAAAGACCAAGGGCAAAGCGGTCATTCCGAGAAGAATGAAATTCACGGTCACACCCGATATACAGAAGCGAAGCAGGGTTAAACCATGATGATCTCGACTTCCATCAGCACACGTTGCAAGCATGCAGGAGATCATTAAGAGGAGTCCCACCGTAAAGATCTTTGATCCTTCTGCAGGTACTCTAGAGACTGTATCTCATTGGCTTGTTTTAATTTTTTTTTCCCCTGTTTTACCTTGGAAAAGAAGTTGCGTCTCTTACCCCAGCTCCACGTGGAAAGGTAAGTTTTACTGTCTTAATTAGAAGGGAGGGAGTCAGGGAGGGGAGCATGGAACAATGGAACATGGCTCGTGGGGCATCCCTTGATTGAGAGTATTTAATGGCGAGAAGACAAAGAGGTGGGGAGGACCCACCAGGAAAAGGCGAAAATAGCAAGCATTTGTGTTTGTGGTCAGCCACGAAAAGAACTTCAAGGGACCCAGATGGTAATTGGTGGAAAGGACAGTTGGGTCAGTCTCCTTAATTAATTTGATCCCTGCCAGCTCCAGCCTTGTATATGGTCCAAACATGAGCAAGCACCCTAATCAATGATCCCGCGTCACACTTGTTCAAAGTTTATAAGTCCACGTACACTGGCTTGCTCTCTCCTATCATTCGACCCTCTCTGCTAAACTACCGGGTTGAAAGTTTCGCTTTTCTGATTTTCACATGTAAAACGCTTTTGCTGTTTAGGCTCGTGTCCAAATAAAAAGGAAAAGTTTAAGTTTACAAGTTTAGACTTTAGACAATTTGTGGAGAAGTTAATTAACTTAAAACAAAGTAACAATCCAATTCCAATTCTCTTACACCAAAGCCAAACAGGCGACCAGTAATCCTCGTATCAGAATGTATATACCCACTTAATTATAGGCATTTTGGCATCACACACCCTTCCTTGAAATTAATTAATCAATTGTTTAGTATATGATTTCTAATGTTGGTTCTTTATATTGTTGATACTTGATGGCTTTTAAAGAAATCAAAGGATCTAATTTAAATCTGGGGTGATATATATTAACTTAACATACTATAAAAAACATATTTATTACTAAACTCTAAAATGCAACTGTGCGCGTCACCCTACTCTTTGCATCGTTTGGATTTGCTTCTCACAGCACTTGGACTCACACATCTGTGACATCTCTATACTTGTAAGCAGTGTTTCTAAACCGTCGTTGATCGGGCCAATCGGACCATTCAGCCTAGGAACCATTCAGGAGACAAAAACCAATCCCATTTCACCCTTAACTTCTTTTTTGGCTAAAATTGTTGACTTGATCAGCAGCCGTTGACCCATTTGACCTGGACAATAGTTTTTTGTCTTTTATTTTAATTATTTTTTTAAAAGTTTTTAATTTTTAATTTGGAACAGATTATTCATTTGAACCATATGGTCGAGCACTGACCTAGAAACCAATGGCCAAAGTGGTTCTGAACTTTTGATTCCAGATTTTAAAAATGAAAACATTGCTTGTAAGTTATTATTCATGAAGAGATGTTCCCAATGCATAACTACAACATGCTGCAGGGGCGGGGGGACTGAGAGGAGCCATGACCCCCTTATGGTCCAGAAATCTCTACACATAGTACATTTTTTTATGTTAGTTTATTCCCTCCCCCCCACTTTTCACCCAATGGTTAGCCCCCCTTATGGTCCATCCATAAGTTTTGGCCCCCCTTATAAAAAATTCCTGTCTCCACCCTTGACATGCTGTGAGGTTGGTGTGAAGCACATTCTGTGATGAGCACATCCAAATTCTCTTTTGTATCCTTATTCTCTTAGGCTGTGTTTTGAATTGGTGTAAAACATCATCAATGTAAAAGTACATCGATGACATTTTACACTGAAACATGAGGGATATGACTGTTGCACTTTGAAAAGCATGATGTGAGTGTAAATTTTTACATTGACTTTATTGATATAGTATTTACATCGACAGCCGATGTAAAACTTTATGTTTGATGAGATTTTATATCAATTCACGGCGTAAAATTTCACTCCATCCAAACGTTGACAAATCTAAACCAGAGTGAAGTTTTACATCGATCTTCATTTACACTCCATCCAAACACCGACAAAACAGAACTGACATAAATTTTTACATCGTTCTTGATTTACATCGATTCCAAACACAGCCTTAGGCTATGTTTAATTTGAAGGGGAAAAATAAAAAAAAAAAGAAAAGAAATATAGGAAAATTACCTTTATAAACCTTATATAGATTTCCTTGCATTTCCCTACTTTTTCATTCAAACCAAACACAGTCTTAGTGTTTTGTGGTTTTTATTTAAAAATACAAAAAAATAAAACATGGGATATTCACAACCGATCCATTTCCCTTTTATTAGGAAACATGTAATCACTCCCATATTCCCATATAGAATATAGTCCTGTTTTAAGACCAGCTCGTGGCCTCGTGCATCACATGGGCTTCTCTTCTAGTAAATTCTTTATAGTTGGATTTGAAAAAAAAAAAGAAGAAAATCATTATTAAATACTAATAAAACATTTATTAAAGCCCAACATATAACTGGAATGACAGTTGACAAAAGCTGTAGTATGTTATTATTTTTATATTTTTGACAGACTTTACGTAATGTTGCTTGACAAACTCCTATCTACATTTATTAAACTAGGTCATGAAGTTCAAATAGTGAAACTAAGGCTCAGTTTGAAAATAATACAAAATACAAGATGTTACATTCTATAAATTTATTATACTCCTTCCAAACTGAATCTAAATTACTGTATGATCGATTAGTACAATGAAGGATACTTAGTTGGTACATCTTCTAATACAACAATTAATGTACGTACATTGTAATAGAGTCCCTATATACAATTACTCACAAGTCGTCGGTAATGTTTTTACACGTAAAAGATTGGGATCTACAGTGTCTTTAATTTTGGATTTACGGCACTGTAAAGGCAATCTAAGCACAGGCAAACAGACAAATGCACACGGCTGATCCCCCCTTCTCTCATGGGGGACCAATTAATTGAATGAGTGTAAAGACTTCGGGTTAGTGAAGTTACTAATCAATATTGTATTGTCAATGTTTCCTGGCTTTCCAGGCTGAAATAGTGTGGCATTGAATTTAGGGAAACGTGTATGAAATTGGGGTTATTATCAGTCGAACAAGTGCTGTATCTCCCATGGTTTTCAAAACTGGATCGGACTGAACGGTCGGACTGGAAAAATCGAGAACCAGTCAGGTGATTGGTTCCGTTTTCTCCAAAAATTGGATTTCTCCCAAAACTGTTGATTTTGGTCAGTGAACCGTTGAAACAGATAGTTAATCGTTTGAATGGTTTTGATCTTTTTTTTTTATTAGAATGGGTTGAGCGTTCGGTTCGAATGGTCAGACCGTTCAACCCAGTAACCGGATCACTGACCGGTTCGATCACCGGGTCGGTTTTAAAAACCATGGTATCTCTATATTAGTATTTTTTTGTCAACTCTGCAGGTCTGTAGGGTGAGAAGAAGAAGAAGAAGAAGAAGAAGAAGAAGTTCTTGTTTAATAATCTAGCCCCGTTTGGTTCATGGGAATAGGGGTTTGGAATCGGAATTGGAATGGGCTATTCCAATTCCAACTGTTTGGTTGGATGGAATCAGAATCCCATTCCCATTACTGCTGGAATGGCATTTCTCATTTGAGGGAGTGGCCATTCCCTGCCCCTCCCTAGGGAATGAAATCTCATTCCTGCTGATTTCAACTCCCATTTTCATTCCTGTCTGAACCAAACAGACTATGGGAATGGGCCATTCTGATTCGATTTCAATTCCGACTGCTAACCAAACGAACCCTAAGATCTTCTTCAACATATTATAAGTCTATTGGTTTAATTGGAACTTAGTATGGATTTAAAGTTGGGGGATAGCTTTAGAAATAAAAAAAAAGAGTGCATACATAAGAAGATTAAGTTAAACCTCAAC